AGGTCAGAGAAAGTGACTTTTTAAAAGACTTTTCACCTCATCACTAATGCACTACACACACATACACACACAGACACACAGACACACACACACAGAGAGAGAAAGTGTGTGTGTGTGTGTGTGTGTGTGTGTGTGTGTGTGTGAGAGAGAGAGAGAGAGAGAGAGAGAGAATATTCTTTGCCTTTTCTGAAACCACCCATGGTCAAAGAATTAAAAAAATGTTTTATCCTGCATTCTCTCCTCTTCCTTTAATCGCTATTAAACCTTTATACCTCTTACTCCTTTTCTAAATTGCCCACTGTTGGTTTTGATCTTACAGGAAATAAAGTTTCTGGTGGCTTGAAACCATCACATACTATTGTGAAATGGACTGCTAAAAGATTCCTCTTAATATTTTATTTCAGAGAATATTAATATTTGCCAAAGGAGTGCAGCGATGTTGAAAATGCTGGTATCTGAGGAAAGCTCTAAGAAATGTATACATACATTTATACATCAAATGTTAATGTGTTTCAATGAATTACATAGCATCCAGCAAATTTATTGCGAGAGAGAGAGAGAGAGAGAGAGAGAGAGAGAGAGAGAGATTTAATTCTTTGCTTGTTATCCTTAATAAAAATGATTTGTATATTGACATGTTTACCAGCTAATTTATGGCTGAGAAATAGTTTTCTTCTTTTAGAATTTAAAATCTGTTTTAAATAATCATAATCAAACTGTCATTTGCCCCTTTCCCTTGTTTCTACATTTCCCTTCCTTTCATCAGCTTTAAATAGGATATTAATGTGTTGCTAACTTGATACTATTTTTAAACACTGGCACTGGTGAGAAATTCCATTTGTTGGGTTATATGGCAGCTTTTCACTTCTATGTCCCTATAAATCTCTTAGTTATTTCACTGTGCTTATGACAAGACAGTCATTTGCATTCATTGAAATCCAATAGGCATTATTAATGTAATGGAAGGGGAGATAAAACCAAAATTGACCATATTCTATGCAAAGATTTTCTAGAAAAGAAATGGAAAGTCACTGAAATAATCATAGATTGATTGTCAGTCTAATGTGAAGCAAGAAAAAAGTTAAATACTTCAATTTGAAGGTGTTAATATGTTTTAATATACTCGGGAACCTTGTATATTTAATGATTTCAATTGATTTCCTTTTTGCATTTTAGTAGCATGCAAAAATATGAATATACAGATCACTGTATACACATCGATACTGGTCAAATTTGTCAATTCTGATTTCATGTATTCTTTATTTTTCTGCCTCCAGCTTTTTCTGTCACATCAGTTCTCAACTTAAAAATATCTTCATGGAAATTTCTTTGCATGTGTATGAATTTCTCCTAATGTGTTCCATTTCTAAGGAACTTCTAGCCTTAAGTATTCATATATTGTAAGAATTTCCCTTTCACAAATATACATATTTTGAAGATGGTTTTGTTTTGTTTGTTCACTAGCACACACATTGTGGTATGTATGTGCATTAATTTGAAGGTTTGGACATTCAGGGCCTCAGAGAAGAAGATTGGAAGACTGCTTGAGGAAGAGCATGATCCCTTGGGTGATATAATGTACATTGAACATAGTGACGTATACAGGGGCAACAAATATAGTGACGTATAAAAAGGCAACAAATATAAAATACATGCATAAGAAAGCAATCCTGTGCCTTCTGGGTATGGGTTGCATTCCATGGGAATAATGACTCCTCGGTATTAGTATGCTTCTGCCCCTAACATGGAGGCCAGAATGAGCCAGGGTAGTGATGGATTTCATGGCCAACCTCACTAAATTTGCAGAACCCAGAGGCGAGAAGAACAAGAGGACTTACTCATGTTGTAAGCTGCCTAGAGTGGTCATGACTGACCAGATAGGTGGGATATAAATAAAAAATTTTTAAAAAGAAGCTCAGCTAATGGGATAGATAGCATTAACCTCTCAAAGTAGGAGTGCCAAATTTATTTATTTATTTTCATGGCCAACCTCACTAAATTTGCAGAACCCAGAGGCGAGAAGAACAAGAGGACTTACTCATGTTGTAAGCTGCCTAGAGTGGTCATGACTGACCAGATAGGTGGGATATAAATAAAAAATTTTTAAAAAGAAGCTCAGCTAATGGGATAGATAGCATTAACCTCTCAAAGTAGGAGTGCCAAATTTATTTATTTATTTNAAAGCACTAATAAAATAAGTGCTGGCATAATGAATGTGAGCAGTTCATATGTCTCTCCCCTTCCGCTAAATTCCAGTCCATACAGTTTATTTCTTGTTTATGGAACCACATTGTGAAAACTAGAGGACAGATGTGTTATGATTCACATATTCATTTGGGAAGTACAAATGCAGTAAATTCATATCTCAATGCAAAGTGAATAAAATGTCCCCCTCCCAGAAGCCAACACTACTAGATATACATTACTAATGCGTGCAAAGTACCAGTGGGGTGTGCAATTGGAACTGGGGACTGGCAAAAACATCTTCAAACCTCTGCCTACCTTCTCGAGCAATAATACCATGAGAGTTCAAGTCTGGATACATTCCAGAGATGAGGGGCAGAGGTGGGATTCAGCAGGTTCGCACCTATTCTATAGAACCGATTCCTAAATGTACTATTGGTTCGTAGAACCGTTTGCTGGCCTGAGAATGAAGAAGGAGGGGCCAGGTGACCAGCGACAAATGGGGGGGAAGAGGGCATAATTAGCTGCCGCCCTTCCTGTGCCACACTGAGCTGTCTGAGTTGGGGTGGGGGTGAGAGAGATAGTGCCCTGGAAAGAGTAGAGGCATCACTGGGGGAAAGGGGGGGAGGATGACTCCTTGAGGGGGTGTGA